GGGGGGTTCTATTCTTTGGGGGTGGATTATTAGACTCACAATTGCAGTCTGTAAAGCCTTTCAAAACACTGAAAAGACTCTTGGAGTTATTTTTGACCAAATTATGGCCTTTAATGTGCATTTTAAAGATAAATATTGTTAAATTTTAAAACATCCCGGGTCATAATGGTGTTGAAAAACTCAACCATACACTTATTCCTTTTAGGCTCGTTTATTGTAATTCATTATTTTCAGGTTGTCAGATAAGCTCAGTGAGAAGCCCTCAGTTAATAAAATATGCTGCACTGACAGTATTAAAAAGGAGCTACATAGAGAGAGCATATATCTCCCATTTAGCTTCTCTCTTCATATGTCCTAATTTCTCATGGTTCCATATTATCCCAATGGCACACTTTATTGCTGTCTTACTTCTGGTTTCTGACAGTAGAATGGAAGGTAGAGGCTTCAGCTATGAGACCCCTCCCAGTGGAACCAGCTTCTACTTTGGATTAAGGAGAAAGACATGTACTTTTAAGTTTAGATATCAGAATTTTGTTTTTTCTAAAGGTTATAGTGAGGGCTGAGTTAACCCTCCCTCCTCCTGGTAGTTTTGGAGGTTTTCTTCTCGTAAAAGGGAGTCCTTTCTTCCAAGTGCTGCTCAAAGGCATCTGTGCGATTGTTTGGATGTTCTATTTAATATTGTAGGGTCTTCAGAAAGATTTTCTTCTCCACTCTTCTACACCTTCTGCACATTCAGTAGATGACAGTCATTGTATCTGAGAAGGGAAAAACAAAGACAGACCTTCAGTGAAGTGTTTTCAGATGAATTGTTTTGTGTGTCTGCAGTCTTGCAGGCTGTCTGCTTACAGAGGACGGCTGTACTTCTCTGGCCTCCGCTCTGAGCTCCAACCCCTCCCATCTGAGAGAGCTGGACCTGAGTTACAATCATCCAGGAGACTCGGGAATGAAGCTGCTGTCAGCTGGACTGAAGAATCCAGGCTGGAGACTGGACACTCTCAGGTATGGAGAGAATGTCTGATAGAGAAAGAAGAGCTGGAAACATTCCCTGTGCCCTTATCTCACCTCCTGTTTGTTTTATCCAGATATGACATTAACAGTCACATATAGGAACATTGTTTTCCTTTCCTCACAACCGGTGTTGAGCAAGTTACTTTGAAAAAGTAATTAGGTATAGTTACTAAGTACTTCTTCAAAAAAGTAACTGAGGTAGTAACGGAGTTACTACATCTAATATTCTGAAAGTAACTAATTACTAGGAAAATTAACTATTATGTTACTTTAAAAAGTGTTTAACTCTCTGGGGTCCAGGGTTTAATTGGCTGTTTTTGACTTTTGATTTTACCTCTGCATTTCACCTTTAAAAAACTGTTAACCTTGTTGTGTTTGGTATCATTCTTTTCAGCACCATCTCACATGTCTGAATTTACAGTCATTCTTTCATTTTGACATACTGTATTAACACAAGTGATCTAAAATCAGACAATAAACGTAAAATCGCAGTAGAAAAAAAGTTATATTTTTAACAGTAACAACCACAAACATGTTTAATGATTCATTTTCATGATTTGAAATGCAATTATAAATTTTAAATGTTAAAAGCCTATACACAAGTTTTGCAAACAACAAAGTTATATTAAGCTATTTGCCTAAAAATACAAAACAATACAATACAACTTTATTTATATAGCACATTTAAAAAAAAACGGTATACCAAAGTGTTTCACAATAAAACAGCAGGTTAAAACATTAACAATATAAGATAATTAACAAAGTACTGAATATGCTAACAGGTCAATGGCACTAATTACACAAGAATAAAAGTGAATATCAAATCAAACTTGCTAAAAGCACACAGGTTTGAATTAGAAGAAGATATATAGAAAGAAAAAATTGGAATTTAGTATAAAATACAGGAGTTAACTAACCGGGAAAGAAAGTTTAAATAACTGAGTTTTTAATCGTGATTTAAATGATTGGATGGAGTCAGATGCGTGAATAGCAATGGAAGGTTGTTCCAGGGTTAGGTGCAAACAGGGCAAATGCACGGTCACCTCTGGTCTCAAGCCGAGATCTAGGCTGTACCAAGAGCAATTGGGCTGATGATCTGAGGGCTCTCCCACGGGTGTATGGTCCAAGAAGTTCGACGAGATAGTTAGGTGCTGTATTATTTATAATTTTGAAGGACCTGTTCGAAAGATAAGATTTAAGCCAGTTAAGGGCGTCACCTCTAATGCCAACTGTATGTTCTAACCTCGTTAGTAGAATATCATAGTCCACCATATCAAGGGCTGAGAACAAGTCCAGTAAGACTAAGACCGCAGAATGACTTGAATCGGCAGTTAGGAGAAGATCATTAAGGACTCTCAGCAGAGCTGTCTCAGTGCTATGACGTGGTTTAAAGCCAGACTGAAATTTATCACTGATGTTGTTTGCATCCAGATAGGCCTGGAGTTGCGAGAGAACTACAGCTTGCAAAAGTATTCGGCCCCCTTGAACTTTTCCACATTTTGTCACATTACAGCCACAAACATGAATCAATTTTACTGAAATTCCACGTGAAAGACCAATACAATGTGGTGTACACGTGAGAAGTGGAACGAAAATCATACATGATTCCAAACATTTTTTTTTATAAATAAATAGCTGCCTGGGCAGGCTGGGACCACTGTATTCCCCTCCTGAGTCGCCTGACGGTTTGCCAAAATTGCTCTGGGGCAGTCCGAAAGTCTTTTTCCATGCCTCCAAATTCCTCCCACACCCAAGCCGTGTTCTGTTTGGCCTCTCACTACCTATCACTGCCTCCAATGTCATACAGGCTAGTCAAGCTCTCAGCCTGATGGTTCCACCAGTGTCCAACCTCTTATCTACTCCTTTTCCTGACAGAGACAGAAACAACTCCCTGCCTAGCCTTGATTATTTAATGTTATCCTACCACTGATTCCATTTATCTAGTTCGGGAACAGTCTTTTGACCCTCAAAACACAGAGCGCCAACTCGTAAAAAGCACATATGATGTGTATAAAAGGCCCCAAAGTTCAGAGGATAATTCTTAGATCTTATGTAGGTGTTTGTATATTGTTCATTTCGTATTCCACCTTCTGTTAACTGAACTAGCCCACCGTCTGTTGACATCATACAGTTAGTAAGGTTAGTGTCAGATGAGCGGTGGATAGGTCCAGTGGGGGTGCACTGATTCCTGTGGGATGTGATGTGTGCGTGAATGATGAGTAAGTTTTAACCTGTGTTGCATGTTTCTTTGTTTGTGTTGATACCATGATATATTTACAATTTAGAAGCTAATGTAGTTTATAGTTGCAATGGTGTAGGCTATGCATGCGATGCGTGAATTCACCCTAATTTTACGCGCTAATTGATGTCAGATAGTTTATCCTGGTTTAGCTTTAGTTTGCCACATGTATGGTCCTTAATGTTTCTAACTTCATGCCTCTATTATCAGAGCTTCCCTGTATGGTATATGTGGTGCTCGTGATTCCTTAATCTATGTTACAGAGTTTATAGCAGACAATTTGTTATGAGGACCGCTAAATGCAGATCGTAGTTTGACCGGAAGTATCATGTTCTCATTTGAACTTCACAATTAGAGCATTACGGTGGTTTATAACGGGGAAGCCTTGATTTTGTACAACTACCGAAAGTAGTTCATGTGTACTGACGGTAACTTAACCTCGCACTATTGTCGTTTAGTTGACACAGTGTAAGCAGTAGCTCTCCAGAGTCAATTATTCTGTGTTTCTCCTTTCAATTCAATTCAATTCAATTTTATTTATATAGCGCCAAATCACAACAAAAGTTGCCTCAGGGCGCTTCATGGATACAGAGAAAAACCCAACAATCATATGACCCCCTATGAGCAAGCACTTTGGCGACAGTGGGAAGGAAAAACTCCCTTTTAACAGGAAGAAACCTCCGGCAGAACCAGGCTCGGGGAGGGGCGGCCATCTGCTGCGACCGGTTGGGGTGAGAGAAGGAAGACAGGATAAAAGACATGCTCTGGAAGAGAGACAGAGGTTAATAACAGATATGATTCAATGCAGAGAGGTCTGTTAATACATAGTGAGCGAGAAAGGTGACTGGAAAGGAAAAACTCAATGCATCATGGGAATCCCCCGGCAGCCTACATCTATTGCAGCATAACTAAGGGAGGATTCAGGGTCACCTGGTCCAGCCCTAACTTCATCCATTCATTGATCTCATAGTCTCCTGCCTCTTTTTGCATTGTTTTCATGTCATCTTCTGTTAATTATGGTAGTGAATCTTCTGCCAGAGCAACCATTTTGCCTTGATATCCTCCTGCCTCATTTGCTGCCAGGTCTGCAGCCTTCCTTTTGATGTCCTTTGCATTTCATCACTACCTCATTTCTGGGCAGCAATACAGCTTGTATTTGTTCTTCCAGTGGTTCTTCACTGGAGTATTGGTTGTAGTCAGAAAACTGTGTCTCACCCACTGTGGTCCATTCACATGAATTGCTCCATTTCCATATGCTGAGTCTGTATAGATGTTCACTCTTTTTCCTTTAGAGAGTTGTAGTGCTTTGGTGAAAGCCACAATCTCTGCCACCTGAGCTAAGGCTGGCTGTGTTGGTGTCCACAGACCACAGCCAATGGTTTTGTATGCTGTTGATCCTGTGGTACCCCTGAGTATCCTACTATGGTGAGAGTACTTGTTGACAATTGCTTTAAAATGTTTATTGTTGAAATTACTGCTCTACTATCAGCCATTAAGCGCATCTTCTCACCATTGATATTGGAGGTCACCATTGGCTCAGTCATAGGTGTTGTAATTAGACCTGCATAAACTCCAGGGCCCCGTCAATATGGGTTTTGGTTCAGATTCCCAGGGACCACTTTCCCATGCAGACTGGGGCATCTGTCTGTAGTTTGGTACTCTCTCATCTGTGATATGCCACCTATCCAGGCACCTGAACACCAAATGAACATAAGACCACCTACATGGAGTGAAGTAGAGAAGGTAGTGAAGCAGGCAAGAGCAGCATCGGCCCCAGGACCTAATGGCATTTCATATAGGCTCTATAAAAACACCCCACGAGTCCTCAAGTACCTGTGGAAGCTGATGAAGGTAGCATGGCAGAAAGTAGTGATTCCAAAGGCTTGGCGAAGAGCAGGAGGTATTCTGATCCCTAAGGAGAGGAACTCCTCATCTATCAGCCAGTTTCTCCAGATCAGCCTGCTGACCGTAGAGGGAAAGATCTTCTTCAGTGTCCTGGCCCAAAGACTATCTACTTTCCTGCAGATAAATGTCTGGAGCATGCCAGCGTCATCTGGCACAAGATTCAAACTGCTAAGAAAGAACAAACAAAGAGACCTTCGTGTGGTCTTTTTAGACCTTGCCAACGCCTTTGGGTCAGTTTCGCATGAGATCTTGTGGATGGCCTTCAACTATTTCAGCGTACCAAACCACATCACAGGACTGGTCAAGACCTACTTCCAGGATTTACAGTTTTGTGTGACAGCTGAGAACACCACCACAGCCTGGCAGCACCTGAGAAGTGGAGTTATGGCAGGCTGCACGATTTCCCCTCTGGCATTTATCATGGCAATGGAGTTCGTCATGCGGGCATCTCGGTGGGTAGTGGGAGGTGAGAGACTCAAGAGTGGCTTTCGTCTTCCTCCCATTAGAGCCTACGTGGATGACATGACCATCATTACAAAAACAAAACCATGTACTAGGCGATTGCTACAGAAGCTCCAGGAAAACATCGAATCATCACATTCTCTGTAAGATTAAGGTCAACCATTGAGCGGCGTATATTTTAAAGGCTTTAAAACCAAGTAAACGCTGAAAGTACAAACATCGCTAATGTCACATAACTTTGCTGACATGTGGCCAACAGTAATGTTTTAATGTTTTTTATTATTGAACATTTGCACATAAATAAGTGACATAATATTCAGTACTTACTTTTGAAAGTTTACTCTTCTGCCACTCCGCTTCAGACGTTTTTTTTCTGCAAAATTATCCACACCCACCGCCGCGCTGTGAATTGTGGGATATATGGGACCACGAAGCGTGCACCGGACCACGCTTGAAATTTGGGGAAAGCGACGCCGCATTTGGAGTACGCATTTGGCGTACACTTCAGATTGGGACAGCCATTGTCGCGTCGCTGTGACGTAATAGGTCTCAATATGCATACTCCGAAGTGTGCGGTCGCTGGATTGGGACACAGCCAACGGCTATGGCTAAAAAGGGCTGACATCACTTGGGCAGCTAAGGCAGTCAGCTATCCGCAACACACATGCCCAGGATTGATCGACCCATGGTGGGCCTGCCTCAACAGGGGTTCCAATAGGGTAAAACATAACATTAGAAGTTTTGCTGGTTGACTGATACAGCTGTCTCAGGGCCTCCTGGAGGCTGTGCAGTTAATCTCATGGTAGTGAAACTAAAAGGAGGGATGAAAGAATTGGAAAGAAAAATGTTCCGCTCTTCTCCCCTCTGCTCTTCTCCCCTTTTCTGGGAGGCAGTGGGGAGGTAGAGCATACAGCCTGATCCAGCGGGGAGGTGTGGGAAGCCAGATCAGGGGCCCCCCTTCCGGCTCCCCTCTGTGCTCTCTCCTATCTTATCTTACTTACTTGTCTTACTTCTCTCTATCACCTTTTCTGTCCCTTTGAAAAAATGAGGCTCCATAAATGTTAAAGAGGTAAGTATTTCTCACTTGCAGTGAATAAATAGAATAAACTGTAGAAAACTAAACAGCATAAAAAAGAAGAGAAATAACAATTTTAACATAGACCAGTGACACACTCCGGGGCCTGATCAACCCTGGCAGGGCCTCCTTGGATGAGAGTGAAACACCCGATGAATCCAAGGTCCACTACTGACGATTTGTGCCAAATTTTAATATGATAATTTAGATCAGATCTTTAATCCGTAAACCTAACCAAGAAAAAATGGCAGATTAGCTTGAGTAAAAGAATGAAATTTGAGGTACGCAACGATGTGTGCCGCTAGTAAAGTTTCTGGGCTGCTCTTCCTCATAACAGCCATCCCCCAAGATTTTCTCCATTTAAAGCAATGCATTGTCAGGGATTCTAACAGCTAGTCCTTTTACTGAATCCTTCCTTATGGTCCGGCTTTTGGTCTCTGAGCCCTCATCTGTTATGGATATTGGTTCGGGCATTCACTCCTCTGCTGAAAGATGCAGTAAGTTCTTGATAAACAATTGAACACTGGTGAACCAAGTGCTTCTTCCAGCTCTCATTCTGAACTAGTTGTGTCCTCTTCTTCCCTTCGTCCCACCATTTCAGCATTTAGCAAGCCAGTCTTTGTCCTTTTTGTTTCTTTGTTCTGTTTTGACTTTCCCTTGGATTGATGATGACCCCAATTTTCTTAAAATGTGTCTTACTGGGAGCCAGAGTCTTCTCTTTTTGGTCGTTATCAGTGTCTTCTCCTTGATTCCCAGAATCTGAGTCACTCATTCCTCTGAAGTACACTCTCTGTGTACTCACTACCTAATTTATAGCCGAAGTATTCACTCACTGTGTCTTTACTGTTTCGCTAGCTTAGCTTAGCTCTTTGGTGACTCGCTAGCAGCATGGCCTCTTCACTCTTCCCTCCCTCACTTTCCTGCTCATTATGGTCAGATGTTTAGTTACTCCTCGGCCTCCTTTAACAGTAATGATACTTGTAATAAATGTAGCATATTTGCTAGTCTGAAGGCCAGGATCACTGAATTGGAGACTCGGCTTCCACACCCCTGAAAACCCTGTAGCATAGTCTTAAACAGAAGCCCTAGGTACACCACCAACCTGTTTGTGTGTCTAACCGTTTTTCCCCACTCAGCAACACACCCGCTAGGGGTCAGACTCTGGTAATTGGCGATTCTGTTCTGAGACATGTGAAGCTAGAGATAGTCAATTGTCTTCCAGTGGGCCAGAGCAGGCAACATTGAGGGAAATTTAAAAGTGGTGGCAAAGGTAAACATAAATTTAGTAAAATTATAATTCAAGTCGGCCCCATTACTGATAGAAATCTTACAGTCTAAGAAGGCTAAACTGCCACTTTTCATATCCTCCATGGTGAATTTGATGTGTTGGTCCACTGAGTTAATGTGATCTGTGAATTGTGGTGCGTCCTGAGATTTGACTTTCACCCAGGTGTCATCCACATACCTGAACCAATGACTTGGTGAACATCTATACATCACAGATTAAGGAAAATAAGAACAACCCTAGGTTTCTCTTCAGCACTGCAGCCAGGCTGGCCAAAAGTTAGAGCACTGTTGATCCAACCAGTTTAAATTAAACCTTAATTTGAAACATTTTTATTTTCCTTTTATTACCAACTTGTAATCCCAACTTTTATGCATTAAACATGTGTAATATTATATAAATACTATCTATTTGAATGAGACAGCTTTGACCGCTCACCGCTGATATTTAAATTTCGTATTATTATTATAGTTCAATATGACACTTATCTGCTTATCTTTATTTTGAAGGCCTATTGTGGGCGTGACTCGTAATCAGTTGTCTCCAGTTCTGGCACCGGACAGCAACTCCATCAGTGAGCCTTTCCAATTGTCCTTTCTCGCAATATTTCAGTCAGGACATAGCGCTTTTGACCCTCAAAACACGGCGCGCCAGCTCATAAAATAGCACATGTGATGTGTATATGAACATGATAAAAAAACAACTTTTATTAATTATTTTAAACCTAACAGAACACGGCATTGTTTTTGTAGCCGTTTCCCCAATTGCCAGATTTCAAAATTGGCAGTTTGGATTTTTGTGAATGAGATGCTCTCATGACTCATCCAGTGACGCTACTGACAAGGCAATAGGTGGCATGCAGTCTGACGACGTCACATTTTGTCACCTGCTCAGATCGCTTGTAACCCTGGCCAAGCAGGTACTATTTTAGTACCTGGTAACTGGTAGTATGACCTATTGGAAAACCCTGAAATTCGTGGGGAAAAATGCCAAGTTGTTCTGAGTAGGTACTAATGGAAAAGGGAAAACCCCATGCCAGCGTGACACAGAGTCCAGTCCCTCTCCAGAAGGCTGATTCCAAAACCCAAGCCGTGTGTTGAGATGAGCCCAACTATATCTACCTGGTACCTCTCAACCACATGCACTAACTCAAGCTCCTTCCCCACCAGAGAGGTGACATTCCAATAGCTCGTCTCAGTAGCCAGGGATTGGTCTGCCACGTTCTCCGCCCCTGGTCGTCACTGTTCCTTTATCAGTGTGTAACAGTGTGTGTATGAGAGCCATGTAATGTCCATGTGTGCATGCTGACTGTGCTGCTCTGACCCCCCCTCCTCCTTTCAGGGTGGAGCCTGCTGGAGTCCGATGGTTGAGACCAGGTCTGAGGAAGTGTAAGTGTGTTTTTAATGGGATTCATGAAAACAAAGCAGCACACATTAAACCATCTTCATCATGTCAGGAGTCATCATCAAAGTGTCAATCAATGAACAGATGATGGATCAATAACTGCAGCTGGATTGTGTTTGTTCTCTCCATCAGATTCCTGTCAACTCACAATCGACACAAACACAGTGCACACAAAGCTCCAACTGTCTGACAACAACAGGAAGGTGACACATGTGGAGGAGGTTCAGTCATATCCTGATCATCCAGACAGATTTGATGTTTGTTATCAGCTGCTGTGTAGAAATGGTCTGACTGGTCGCTGTTACTGGGAGGTCGAGTGGAAAGGATGCATTTATATATCAGTGAGTTACAGAAGAATCAGAAGGAAAGGAGGCAGTTACGACTGTGGGTTTGGACGGAATGATCAGTCCTGGAGTCTGTACTGCTCTGATGATGGTCCTCATTCTGTCTGGCACAATAACAGAGAAACGTCCATCTCCTCCTCCTCGTCCTCCTCCTCCTCCGTCTCTAACAGAGCAGCAGTGTATGTGGACTGTCCTGCTGGCACTCTGTCCTTCTACAGAGTCTCCTCTGACACTCTGATCCACCTCCACACCTTCAACACCACATTCACTCAAACTCTTTATCCTGGATTTTGGTCCTTGTTTCCTGGTTGCTCAGTATTTTTGTGCTGAGTTGATTGTAAAGAGTGTCCTCCTGTTAGAGAAACACTCTGACTGTTGAACAGATAGTTCAGTCTCTACATGTCTGTCTCTTTCACTCAGAAACACGTTTTCAGATTCATGGATTCAATCAGTTGATGTTTGAAACTCTTCTAAATGATTCCTTGTAAACTTCTTCCTCTTCAGTCCTTTAAAGATGGAAGCTCCTGTTATTTCAGGATCCACATGTTGTTTTTCTGTCTTTTTCCACTCAAAGCTTCACAGTTAATATCAGTATGTTGTGTTTCTCTGACGCTCAGTTCACAACCAGCTCCTCTGCATTTTCAACAAATCTGAGCTCATTAAAATAAATCCAAATGTTTGATTTCTCTTTCTTAATGGGATGTAGGTGTAGTTCATTTTCCTTGTTTAAAAACATGTTTTAAAATAGACTATTAGAAAAATATATCAAGAATGAAAAGAGCAAAAGAAAAAACCAAACTCTTGATTCTTTTGCTTTGATGTGGTTACTCATCTAAGGTGGAAAGTTTTTTTTTTTTGTTCGCTTGTTTGTCTGTTTGTTTTGTTTTTGCTTTGTTTTATTCTTTGCTTCGAGCCCTGTGTACAGGAGTTGCATCCAAAAAGATCTTTTGTTAAAAGGGTTGGCGTAATAAGCAAATGCTTCAGCCAATACCTTTTGATTAGCCTTGTCTCATGCTTTCTTGTATTGTGGTAATCTTTATTCTGTCTTCACTGAGATATTTGAATGCTAATCAATAAAATCAAATCAAAAATTTAAAAAAAAAAAAAATGTTCTTACTGCATGCTCTTACTGTTTCACTCATTGTTGAAAGCTCATCATTTGAAAATGTTTAAGCCATATAAGCTGGAAATATTGGCTTATTAGTTTTGAATGCAGTTCTAAGCAGAATCTGATTGTATCGTGATGCATGCAGCTTATCTAATAAACAGCAAAGGCTTCAATCCTCATTTGAAACTAGTCTTGTGTTTTTCAGATATTTTCAACAGTAATATTTTGCAGTGTGTTCGTAACAGCTTTGTTTGAATGTTCTTAGAAATGTGTAAACATTCCTATATAGCATTGCATATGTTCTGTATCACATTGTTTCGTTAAAGAGTTTGTCCACTGTGCTGAATCGATGTGCTAGATTATAAACATCGACTTTTATTAAACATTTCTTTTCTTTGTGTTTGCCATTTTTGATGTCAAATAAACTTGGTTGCTTTCTCAATGTTGTGTTCATATGTTACACAGATATTGCACAGACTATTTTTTTATTGTATTTTTTATATGGCTGTTTTGTTTTTTTTTAAACTGTAATCTTGTCAGTGAGCCTCTGCCAGTCTGTCCTGATATGTGTTGTGGTGAAGTGACTAAAGTATGGTGGTGGTGTGTTGACAGTGTAACAGCACCACTGGCGTGGTGTGAGAGTCCAGCTTCAGCCTATGTTTATGTTGGACACTAAGATCTTGTATACAGAAACACTAATAAAGAATCAATCATGAATAATTGTCGTTCAGACATTAGTTCCTAATGTTTGGAGAAACTCCATCTTAATCACAGCTCTGATAGGGCTACAGTTCAATTTCACACTAATGAAGCTCTTTTTTTAAATTCAATGATTCATATTTAAAAACCAATGTCTGCTAAACCTCCTGCTTCTTTATCTGTTACACCAACTCGACTGTGCAAGAATTGTTTTCATCGATTTGTTTTAACAGCTGATTTTTTGGTTAAGTCGAGCTGATAAACTGTACCCTTACATTTACTCTGTTTCTGTCCAAACAATGGACATAAGGGAGCACAGTTATTCCTCCTCCAGTTTATTAAAGCTTGACAAATGAAACATGAGCCCACACACTGAGACAAGTCTGCCTGTATGAGGGCGGAGCTTGTGCAGCACAAACAGACCTGTCACGATGGAGACAAAATCCATCGTACAGTTTGGGAAGTTCTGGGATCATCTGCCCTGTGGCTTCTGGCTCCTATATAATGCACCATTATATTGCTAACATGCTTGTCTTTAACAACTGTAGCTTCTATTATTGTATTTCTGTAAAACCTGTTCAATGTTTTTTTTTTCAGCTAAGTTTAACAGATGCATGAAGCTGTTGGAATCGTTCACAAGCCCAAGTTTTGAAGCATTTTCAAATATTGTGATTGTTAATATCACCACTTCACCGAGTTCTTTTGATTCCTCAGAGGCATCCGATAGAAGACAAAACACTGCTCAGTAGACCATTTAACACTTTATTTCTCTTTCACATTACCTCTAGAAGGGAGATGCGCCCTGCACGACATGCTGCCGGCTGATCTCGAAATGGTGGTGTGCCCCTGACAGTTTTATAACAGAAGCTCTCTTATTCTAGTCTAAACAACAGCATTCCAGTAATTCTCCACAGAAAATGGTTCCCTCTTATCTATATTTTCCCAGGCAAGCATGAGCGAGAGTCTGCAGGTCTCTACTTCGCAAGGACACATGGTCTCATGCCTTTATTTTCAGGGCTGTGTCCACTTAATACTACACTGTATAACTTTACAACGCTCTCTCACAGTCTGTTCTCTAAAACCTAAAAGAGGAATTATGGATTTTATCAACTGGTCCCTGAATGCAATTGACACCCTTTTCTCAATGAGAAGTCTGGGCTCGGGTGAGCCTGAGTGTCCTGGAGGTACTTTCCCTGCTGGATACATGATGGACAGGAGGCAGAACTGGAGGGTCGTGTGCCTGGGGGGACTGTCGATCGAAGACGCTGAAGATATCTACCTATTCGGAACCATGATAACAGGGTTCTTGGTGATCGGAGCTGGCTTGGCCCTGGCTTATCGAAGAATTAAGAAAGCAGAATTGGCTGTTCAAAACCCCCACAAGGCTGCCCGCTGGGATTGAAACGATAGGACGAGTTGTGAGTTCTCAAAATGGGCTCATTGAGTGCAGCATGGATAAAATCTTGGAGAAGCTTACAGCTGCTGTGAACACTCAGAATAACACCTCTGAGCGCAAATTGGATTACATCTTTGAGAAGCTCACTGCAATCGTGAGTTCTCAGAATCGGCTCTTTGAGCACAAGAATGACAACATCACGGAGCGCAAGTTTGATAACATGATGGAGAAGCTCGCGGCTCTCCAACGGGAGATTGAGAGACCAGTGTCGGACTGTTAGAACAGCTTTTAAATTCATATGACTTGTTCGCACTTAAGTATAAATCACCATCACTTCATGCGGCTACCACTTCGGCGCCAGCTGTGGTGTCAAGACTGAAACTGAACAACAACACCCTGATAACAGACTGTGCTTAGAGTCTTTCTTCCCATTCTATACAAGGCCACCTGTGTTGGCTGGAAGACTGTTTACTTAACCTGGCAGGGCGAAGGACACTGTCTCAGCTGAACTATGGACACGCACACACATTTCACTGCAGGGTAACTTGCATGTGACAAATAAAGTTTTCTTGATCTTGATCTTTAATGAAAAACATAGCATTATTGTGGCACTGAAAAATTATTTATTCCCAACATTATATTCTCAGAGACATGTCACAGCCTTGATTTGTGTCTGTAATACTTGGTGTTAATGATTTCATTTATTGCTTCCAGTTTTAAGCAGGTACCTCCTTTTCAGTTTAAGGCTTTGGGCTTTTCCTTTGGTTGTCTTTGTTAATATCACCATATCATCAGTGATTTAGAACAACACTGATCTGGCCGAGTGGAGTCAAACGATGATTTTTAATGACACGCGTGGGGAGACCACCGCTGTACGCAGACAGCGCCGATCCCCAACTTACAGAGCATAAGCAGGTGCTTTATATACCATCAGGGCTTAAATTTACTGACGCCCTTAAACATCACTCAGATACAGTTCATACATAGGTTTCAAAATCACAATGACTTTTAACACAGTTTAAAAATAACATTGTCTCCGTCTCCACAGCAGATGCTTCCTGTCAACATTCTGACTTTCACTTCCCATCTGGAACACCAGACCCACACCCTGCAAGAAACTATTCCTCTTTTTGCAGAGACAGCAAGAAACTATTCCTCTTTTACAGAGACAATTTTAGAGTTACAAGAAAACATGATTAACCTCTCACCTATAAATGAGTCTATCTACTGTGTGTCTGTGGGTGTCAGCATGAAATGCACTCAGTTTCACCTCACCAGCTGAACCTTGTAACCTTTTCCACCAGACAGAAGGCCAGCACGTACACATTTAAGATTATAACAAGCATTCAAAAGCATTTAAGATCATTGATTTAACTCAACAGTTTAACGTGGTTATAACTGCACCTGTAATAAAGGCTAATTGGGTACCAAAATGTTTAAACATCTAAATACAATATCAATACTGCAGATTGTATTACTAATGCAATGGTAATGATGATGATTATTAACAATAGCAGTAAAATATTTCTCTAATCCCCACAAAAGATACTTGAAAAACTGTTTTTATTTTATTATTTTATTTTGTGTTTATTTGCATTCACTTTAGACTCACACAAGAAATGACTAAACTAGCTGTGTTTGATTGACTCCTTTGACTATATGACTATATATATATGACTATACTATACATCTCCCAGAGGAGTCCAAATTGTCATCAAACAGCCCTACAGACACAAAAATGTGAAATATAAACAACCAGACTATCAGCAGTGATTTAAATACTTTAAGACCTCTGTGAAAATCATTTACAGTATATATCACAGAATTTAAGGCCTGTATAATCACAGAGCATACAGAGAAAAGTACTAAACTGAATCAATTTCAGCTTTCGTTTCTCATGATGTATATTGTATTAATAATTAAATTTCATTATCTGTAGCTTTACCACACATTTGCCTCACAGGTGTAGATACTGTAGGTTCAGTGAATGCTTAGATTGCACTGAT